AGAGGAAGTCTCAATCACAAAAAGAAAGAAAATACCCACATGTTGAGGTATCGTTGGGGTTATTTCAAATTTGAGGATTTTAAATAATGGAAATGATTTCAAATTTCTAATTGTGTTTGGAACCAAATGGAATTCAAAGGATTAAAAGTAAAATTTCTTGTTTGATGTTCACGAGAAATAAAAAGAAAGTATAACATTTTACTATTATGCCCTTATAATTTAGTATGATATTATATTAATAATTTTAATAACGAAATAGTAATGTGAACCACATATAAAAATGAAATCATTTAATCAAATCAAGATACTAAATTAAACCTTACCCATGATAAAAAAAAAAAACTTGTAAACAAATATTTTTAAAAGAAAAAAAAACTTAAAATCGAAAATAAATATGTTTACTTTTTTTCTTCTAATGCAACCTCTTATTTGCTTTAAATTTTAAAAAAATCAAGAAGAAGAATACAAGAAGGGAACTTTTATAAAGTACAAAAATGATTTTAAAAAAACTATAGATAATTTTTAAATGTATCAAAAATGGTGAATAATTCAAAAAATTATTTGTAGAAGAGAAACAAGAAAAAAAGAAATAAAAAGTAGCTTACTTTAATGAATATTTGCTTATGAAGCCTCTTAAATGTAGGGTGAATTTGGAATTAAATACTTTTTAATTTCAAATCCTTCATCCGAGCTATTTATAATGGAAATTTTTTGGATTTAAAACGTGATTTCAAATCCATTGTGATTTCAAATCACCTTTTTACTTTCCCAAACAAACACATGTTTCAAAATCATTTCTGATTTACAAATCACTGCAAATCCTAACTCCAAACAGAGGGTTAAAGAAGTTAATCCGAGCACACTTTTAATCCAATATATTATAAACTACTTTGTTTATCCACAAATATGACTTTTTTGGTCCTTGAGAGAGGGAAAATTTTATTTAATCCTTTTAATAAATTATTAAAATCCTCTTTTATATATGGGCCCTAAAATTATCATAACTCCCAATAAAATAGATTGGATTAATGTTATATGAAATGAGAGAGGAAATGATATGACAACTTAAGTTCTTTTCAAATCAAAGTTTTGATGCATCCTAATTTTCTAGTTAAAGTGAAATCATGGTTTTCTCCAACCTTGTTAAGAGCTACCAAAAGCCAAATGTTTCATCTGATACCTTTTTAAAGAGCTTAAGATATAAGCTTTATGAATTTGTTGGTGAATCTAATTTTGTAGATTTTTTTTTTTTAGTTAAAAAAGATGGGGTTGTGAGATTTAACCTAAATCTTAGAAAAGATTTGAATTAACATTTTATCCACTCAACTATGCTTTCGACATATTTGATGGTATTTTCATATTTTTATTACCTATCTTTTAAGAAAGAAAAATAAAAATTTATTTTATCACGGTTTCTTATTTCTAATTTTTTCTATTTATTGAAATAAAAGTGTGATTGAAGAAAATTTTCTTGTTTCTTCTCCTTTAAAAGGATAAATCTATTCAATATATGAAAAGGATGTTGGGATTTTGTCCTTTTAATTTAATCATTTTCATATTTATAATTTATTTTTAATTATAATTAATAAGGAATTTCAAAACTTTCGTAACTTTTTATTTTTTCTAAAGAAGTTTTTTCTTACTCTTTCTTCCAACTTTTTTTTTTCATTAAAACTTGAGCTTCTTTTCTCTCTCGATGTGTTTTTCTCCTTTAGTCATTCTTTTGTGTTTTCTTATATTTTGTTAGATTATTTGACCGAACATTCAGCTTGTAGTTTTTTTTTTCCAATGTAATGTTAATAATTGTTATTTTAAAGAATACTTAGTTACCTACAACATATAAGTAATTTATTCCAAGTTGACATACTTGCTTTTTTTTCTTTTCTTTTTGTCATTTTCTTTTTCAATGACTCAAATAAGAAATCAAGACAACATTTTATTAACTTTTATGCATTGTTATGCCTAGAAAAAAAAAATGATGAAAAATCTATGAATATGTATTTTTTAGAAAACTAAATTTAGGTAATTGAAGAATAATATTTTTAGTCACACTAACCGGATTAGTGTGCTATTGAGACGTCGATTTTATGAGATAAACATGGAAAATACAAAAAGAAAAAAATCTTGGTGAGGTAAGCATTAAGAGATAAAAAAGCCAAATTATATTAAAAAATTTTAACTACTTAATTAATTTTTATATTTTCAGACATTGAAATAAACCACACGTATTTCTTACTAGTTCTAATAAAATAGAAGTTAGACCTACAAATAAACTTTAGTTAAAATTAATGGGCTAAATTACAAAATATATACTCCTAAACTTTGTGTTTGTTAAAATACCCTTATTCTTTTCAAAAGTTTCAATACCACCATTGACCTTTTATAAATGTTTCAAAAATACCTTTTGAACAAATTTTCTAATTTGTAAACATCTTTAACAAAGACGATTGTCCATTGGTGATTATATCTTCAAATCATTATATATTAGAAGTTTTGTAGATTCCCTTGTAGAGGTTAGTACCCTTACATATCTGTTGATTGATTGTTTCATTCTTACATTATAAATGATCTGGAAATAATCTTTCGCAAGCAATGGCAAATCTGTAGTTTTTTTTTTCCTAATAATCCTTTTCTACTTTTCTCTTATTTATTATGTAACCATATAATATAATTTATTATTATTAAAATTTTTATCTTATTATATATATATATATTTATCTTAGTTTCAATTTTCCTGGTTGATCAGAAAGAGGATGTCAAAAAGCAACAAAGTTGCTTAAGTGAACTTTTCCCAAAATGTTGCCTTTTGAACTTTTTAAGCAAACTTGGATCGTCTTAAATAGTTATACTTTTTTGCTTTTAATAAAGTTGTTGCTACAAAAATTTTAGAATACAACGTTAATGGACAATTCTCTTCATTTACGGTCTAACATCTTGATAAGATTTCGAATACAGAACCTCGTGCTTTGATACCATTTTAAATATGATTAAATCACCAATGAACTAAAAGTTTAAGTTTATGGATTAAGATAAATTTAGTCATTTATAAGAGATATAACCTTCCCAAATATGAAATTTTGATAATACGAGGGATTAACACTGTTAAGTTGTAGTATATTATAGGTCAAAATATTACAGTGAAGCCTCTCCTAATCTTAATTGTCGTTCTTCTTGGTAGAAAGAGTTTAGTGGATCAAAATCTCTAATAAAATCAAAATCTTCTTGCACAATTTCTACAACTTACTTCATACGACCAAAAAAAAAAAAAAAACTTTATAAAGAGATATTCGCTTAATAAGCCTACTATTTTGGGGACATATTCAAATAGAATTGTAAATATATGTACCTATTTATTTGAATGCCCCCAAAATACACATTCAAGTAGAATTGTTTACACATGATGGAATTCATAGTTTCTCAACTGTGGAAAATGCAAAATGTGCATTTTAAATTTTTTTTTTTTTACGAATAAATCTTGAAGTGATTTGCTTTTAAGTGTTAGTTTGTGCTTAGACAATAATATGGTATCGGTATCCACCTTATGTTAGATAAAAAATATATATAGGCGGATCCTCGTGTAAGTTCTGCAAGGAGGACCTATTTGATTTTCTTCATTCTCAAGTTAGAGCAAATAAGTAAGTAAGAATAACAAAACATAATAAGAGATAACAATAGAAAAGCTTTAATACTAGATTTTTATACTGGTTCATCCCAATCTTGGAATTAAGTCAAGTCTTTTTGCAAAAGTAAATTCTATTATATCCAGAATATTGCAACAAACCCTTCTTTCTCTCTACATAGCTCTCTCAAGATATCAACTACAATGACTACATTGTTTTTAAGTACTTCAATAATGACTACCTAGGTTACACAATTAAAATGTCCTCACTAAACCTAGATACAAATTCCTCTATCTACACACAGCTCACAACCACTAAATTCTCTTTTGACTTCTGTACAAATAGAACGTTAACAAAAAGGCTATCTTTATAGGAATCAATATTCTAATCCACATGCGAATTTGCAGTAGTAGCGTTGAAAATCATTTTCCTCGTAGGACATAGATCTACTTGCTCTACATTCTTATTTTGACTCTATATTCCTAACAACTTCTTGACAATACGAATAATTCTCACAATCATAATGTCTGCATCGACATTGATTTTAACAAAAATAGTTGATTACCTAATTTGAAGGTTGTTCTAAAGTTCATATCCTTGAAACCCCCTTTATCAACAACTTTAGAACGTTCTTTGATGCATCTAAGGTCCTCTAAATGGAAAGATAGGAATTGGTTCGATCACAATGGATACGAATGGCAGTTGTATTTTTTCTAGTACAACAAGTGAGGTATGAGATTCAAATTCATAACCTCTTGATCAGAGACAGATGCAATTACTACTAAGCTAACATCATGTTGGCAGATGATAGATGTATTGTTACAAGGAATTTTGTACTTTTAATGCTAAAGTTAAGGTAGTCGAGGAAAACATGTTTAATGTGTGAAGAAGTTCTTCTAAGACTGGATTTAAGTCCAACTAAAGTAGGATCAATTTTTGTCCAACGTCCATTTCTTTCTTTGACATCATCCATACTAAAGAATCATGTAATTTTACTGCCCATAATCTAGCCAACAAAGCCCTTGACAAAGACCCTTCTATTGGTCAACATCCTCCCCTAGTCGAAGATTATTGAAACCCTAAGATTTATTTATAAATTTCAAAAAAAAAAAAAAGAAAAATCTACAACAGTTTTGTTTAACGTATCAAACAAGAGAGTAGTCAAAATAAGCTAAAAATATTTATCCAATATCCCAACGTTATAATAAAATAACCAAAAATAATAAATTGATAATTTGTACATACGGAATGAACGAAACGAACGATCTGGGGAAGGATATTTGATATTTCTTTGATTTTGAAAAAAAAAAGGGCGAACTGGGTCCCACTGTCTGAAAGTAAATTTATTTTAATAATAATATCATAAATGTGCTTCTCTCTCTCCTCCATCGCCGAGCTTCCCCGAGGTTACGTCATTCACATTCACAAAGCTGACTGCGAAAGTCTTTTCTTTGCTTTGCTCGCTTTCTTTCTACCTTCTCCCCCTTCCATTTCCCTCTCTTCACTTTCCCTTTCACCCCATTTCTCTCTCTCTGATTCACTTCCCTCCCATGGCGGACCGTGGATCTTACGGCTTGGCTCCTCGTCTAGGTCAGATTCGAATTCTCCCGTTCTCTCTGATTTCTGATTGGTTCTCTCTGTAATTCGAGCTGTCCTGTTACTTCTCCGATTGTATTATTGTTTATTTTCCTCGATTTGATGTGGGTATTTGATTGGGTGGGAGGAGTGGGGGGTTTTGTTTGTTTTTGCTTGGTCGAGGGCTTTCTAGGGAACTACTGTTGAATGGAGGGTGCGAGGAATGTGATTCCGGGTTCTGGGTTTGTTTGAGTAGTTACTGAATGCTTCAAATCTCGAGTTGTATTGTTGTGTTCTGTTGAAAAAGTGATTCAGTTCTTGATTCTACTGAGGATGATGCTTGCACCAGCTTTCCTTGGCTTTAGTTGCATCTAAATGAGCTTCTTCTTGTTCTTGTTTTTGTTCTTTTTTTTTCGTGTAATGATTTGTTGATATTTGAAAGTTCAATGGGTACTCTATTTTTCATTATCATGCAGGCGGAATCCTATTTGGTTTAAAGCATATGCTCTGTCTCTTGTGAGAAAGAGCTTAGGGGATCATATATTTAACCGATCTTGTTAGCTAATTTATTGACTCAAATTATTTTGGATACTAGATTCGAGGGCAATGCTAAAGTTATTGACTTATTGGGGTAGATTTAAAATTTCCAAGTTACAAAAGGGCTCTTCAATAGGCATTAATCTAAAGGGGAATGGTTACACAATGTTGTAGCTAGATATGTTCGCCTAGAAACCAACACATAAACTATGACCACATAGAGTATAGACATTTCTATCATGAGCATACAAAATCATGAAGTTCCTTTCTTTCCGCGTTCCTCAACAAGTACCAAGAACTGCATTCTTAACTTTGCCAATAAAGGGTTATTGGTGTGATGTTGAACAAAATATGGAAATTGTACTCCCATCATTTGGAATAAGGAATCTGAGTACCTGCCACCAAATACAAGTAAAAAAAATTTCAAGGTTTTCTCCATTTCTCACTGAGGATGCATCATTGAAGTGAAAAAGCTGGGTTGAAGTCCCTTTTCTAAATTCTATCACAATTATTCACTATTGTAAGGACTTAAGCTTTCCGCAAGACGTGGGATAGCATGGTAGCATTCCAAGGGGTCTTTACGAGCATTTTGAGAGATTTTCTTCTATTTAGAGGTTCAAGCTAAAATTAAAAAACCCGATTGAATTGGTCCGTTTGAAGTATACTTGTTGATAAGTTCAGTTTTCTAAAATATAAAATAAAAAAATTGGTTGGCGTTTGATTTGGATGGAATTTTTCAGTTTCAATTGATATGATTTTGGCTGTCTGGTGACCAATTTTTTTTCGTTTGGATTGGATAGTTGATTTGGTTCTCAGAAAAGGAAATTGATTTTTGCCAAAACCCTTATTGAACCGACCCTCTTACACTCCTAGTTCTATTACTTTCTAACCACACATTTGAAATATAAGATTGCCAGCAAGTTTTCTGGCTCAATGCAGCTAAATTTGTGCTAGAAAGTTTTGCTTGAATGGAACAAGAGATTTTGTATGAAAATGTTTGCATCACACTTATTCGGTTGAAGCTCTCTACTATTTTGATCATTCTCCTTAACAGTTTGGAGATATCTTTGTAAACTCCTTGGGATTTTAGTTTCAAAGATAACTTGTCTTCCTTATCATGGTTGTATCTCTTATTCTTATAAATATGTTTTGTTCCTTAAGCCCTTCCCCACCACACAGAGAGAAAATCTTTGCCTTAAAAGGCTTAAATACTTAAAAAGAGGCCAATGACCTATCTTTTCTTTTTAAAAAGGAAACAGAGCTTTTCATTAAATACTTAAAGGCCATGAACAAAACTGAAGACCATATATTCCTAAGAATCACAGACAGAACAATGGACACATGAATTTCTTAGAAAGTAGGACATGGACACATTGGGGATCATTGGTTTTAAAAAATATTAGATTATGTGTATAGATTGATATATGTTATGTTAGCCGACTATAAATGATCAAGAAGAATTAGTAGAATGCTATAAGATAACTATTACTTTTTTCAATGGAAAAAATATCGAACCTTGCAATTGCAGCAGGTTTAGGGCGGCAGAAAACTGGATGATGCACTTCTCTTTCTCTCACTATCATGTTTTCTCTCTTCACTATCACGATGCCTTTTACTGTTTATTTATTTATTTATTTTTTAAAATTTATCTTAAGGGTTTCACGCTTTCAGCTGGATTTCAGGTTGGGCACAATGGGCTGTTGGGATGTTTTTTATTTAATTTTTCCATCCCATGTCCAAGGCATGTTCGATGGTAGAAATAATAATAAACTAATGGAACACGGCATTTGGCATGTTGGACATGTGTTTGAAGCGTGTCTGATCCTGGCAAATTCATGTTCAACTTGGACACTCTACCTAAATCAAAGTTTGCTTCCTAGAATTTTCATTTTTTGTTCTTTGGCTTCTCACTTTTGGCGGTCTCTCAACACTTTCAGCTGGCTTATTGCTCCTCCTAGGAACATCATTAACATTCGATTTATTAGTTCAGTGATCACCATTTCAAGTTGAAGCTAACTAGCTAAGTTACTTTGAATAAATTTTTTTTTTTTTTTGGATATTCGTGTGTCCGGGCCAGCTTGCGCGCATCTCGACTATTCACGGGACAACCGCCCGACCGTACTACATTTGGTTGACAAGGAAACTTGTAGGATATTAAATCCTAGGTAGGTGGCCACCATGGTTTGAACTCATTCCCTCTAAGTCCTTTGCTATTTGCATTGGCTCTCATTGACCACTTGAGCCATCCCATGATGGTTCTTTGAATAAATTTAATAAGAGCATTTCTTTGAATTTTTTTATTAGAATTAAATATTAACCGTTTTAGGAGAAGTAAGATTGCATGTTTATATGTGTAGGCATATGAATAACATATTTTGAGAGAAATATTTAAACCTACTTGTTATTGTTGTATGTGTCCTTGTTTTGTGAAAATGAATGTTCATTTCTTGTTAGGTTATGTCCTCATCCTTGCTTTTAGCTATATACTTCTTGTTCTTGAAGCTCCAAACTGGTCAAACGATTGCTCACAGCAGTGAAATCTCAACCCTATTGCCTGATATTGAACAGTTTTATCAGGCAATAAAGCATAGTTGTAATACCCACTATTTCCCACCATTCTCACATGTCACTTGCAACTGAGTGCATGTAGTTTTGACTTTATTTATTTATTTTTTTCTGGGTTCGTGAAATGCACCACTGCTTTACCTGAATATTCAATTTCAGTGGTGGTTAACTTCTTTCATGGCTGACATCTGTTCATATTCATGCAGATATTGATCAGTTATTGATAGAAGCAAAACATCGATGGTTACGTCCAGCTGAAATTTGTGAAATACTCCGTAACTATCCTAAGTTTCATATTGCTTCAGAACCTCCAGAGAGACCACCAAGTATGACTTTCACAATCATTACAAAAAAATAATTTAAATCATATGAACTTTGTTGCTGAGCTGCTTGAGGGTTCCTTAATCACCGTCATATGTTAAGTTCCTTAGTATTATTTTTTATTTTTCTTTGAGATGAGAAACTGAAATTCAAGATAATTGAAGGTTCGTTCTTACCAGGAATATTGCCAATGCAATAAGTAATTTGAGTACGGAATAAAATGATTACTTGATTACGGAGAAACAATTAACCAAAATCTGAGTTGAATAACCTGAAAATGGAGATATAAGAATGGTGATTGATGTAACAAAACAAGATCCTATTTCATGTCACCCCGCATTTGATGTCTACATCTAAACAGAAACTGTGAATTTTTTTTCTGCCATGTTGAAAAATTTTCTATAAGTCACACCAAGCAAAACTCTGCACATTTTATTATTATTCGTGTCGCGAGTACAATGGACATTTCATCATGAATGCATCTATTATTGTATTGAATCTTAATAGTTAATGTACAAATTATACTTAATCTTTGATGTAGTGTATAGGGAGTCTGTAGTACAGTCTTAATTAGTGTTGATTTTGCTCCTTTTTTTATGTTTTAAATTGTTACTTATGTCATATATTTTTATCAAATTATTGAAAATTCATGAGTTCGCTATCCTTCAGATCCTCCTCCCATAAGACAAGAATATTTATTTTAAGCAACTGTCTATAGTGACGCCAATTGTACTTGCAAAGCATATTTGTACTGGGAAAACCCTAAAGATTGCTAGTCTATACTAAGTCGCTAAAGCCAATCAGAAATAGTAGAAAGCCAATCCAAGGTGAGTGCCTCTTTGTAATTGCTCGCAGTAGGTGCCTCCAGGTGCAGTGGTTCACTTCCCCTTGCTTGTTACCATAGGTAGTTGCTCAATGTCACCCTGAAACCATATGCCAAAGTACCAGGAGTGTGTGCCTTCCCAACCATATAATTAGAATATTATTTTAAAATAAATGCGACAAGATTGAGACTTTTTAAAAATCGTTTCATTTCGCCTGCAAATGTGTCTATGGTATCAAAGTAAAAAATGGTATGGTTAGGTCTTATGCTGAGAAATGGAACTCAAATCTTTCTTTTCCATCTCTTCTTCTCTTTTATCTCGTCAACTTGAAATGGTTTGACTAGTATTGCTCTGTTTATCACTAACACTAACATTATTTAGGTATTATTATTGTCGTTAACATGTATTTATATCTTCCAGGTGGGTCTCTTTTTCTTTTTGATCGGAAGGTCTTGAGGTATTTTAGAAAGGATGGACATAAATGGAGGAAGAAGAAAGATGGCAAGACTGTAAAGGAAGCTCATGAGAAGCTGAAGGTAACTTACAGCACCACTTTCTAATCTGAATTTCGGGTGTTTTTCTCCAATCGTCATTATTTGAGTTTCTCAAGAATATGCTATTTAGTTATTTGCTATCTATTATTTATCTTCAGTCTGATTTTCTCTTTTCTATAGAACTCAAGGACATAGTTGTACAACCTATGGAACAGATCTTTTTCAAGTAGTTTGATTCTCTCTTTTCATAGATATTTTGTCTTTCCTTTTGTTTCTTATTTTTAAGAATTTTTCTTTATTACTTTTTTAATAGAAAACATGTATTTTACTATATAGTCTTGGAGGTAACTTTCTCAATGTTATCAGGTTGGAAGCATTGACGTACTGCACTGCTATTATGCCCATGGAGAAGAAAATGAGAATTTTCAAAGGCGCAGTTATTGGATGCTTGAAGAGTGAGTATGATGTAGTTGTAAACTTGTAAATTTATAATAGCCTTCCTCGTTACATTCTCTTTGCAATCTGCTCTATGCTTGATTCTCATCTTCTTTAGATTAATTCTCAATTAATTTTTTTTTCCAAAATGTTTTTGAAGAGTTTTTGTTCAGTTTTTATTATGTGGCCATCATTCTGCATTCATATAAGGACTATCAGGAAAGTGCTCTCCTGTTTTCTGGGGGATAAAAGACAAGGACAGTATATTCAAAAGAGGTGAAACCAAGAGGGCACCAACCCAAGGACGGGGTCGAGGTCACCCCTTTCCAAAAACTAGACGACAAAAGTTTTCCAATCGTTCACAATCATGCTATAATTATTAAAAAAATTATTGTGATATTTAGTCCACCAAGAAGCTATGTGCTGTACATTCAAACCAAAGGAATCCCCTAGAGACTTTTTATCTTCAAAATGCCTACTATTCCTTTCTTTCCATATAAGTCAAAGCAGGGCCCTAACTGCATAATTGCATAGAACAAAGGATTTACCTCTGAGATGCACACCTCCAAAACATTCCAGAACAAATCATCTATTTTTTGTGGGAGACAAAGAGAAAGACCCAATTCCGATGGTACAAAAGACCACACTCTGTCTGCAAAAGGACAATGAATGAAAATATGATTCACCAATTTTGCACAACAGTGCTCAACCCACAAACTGAAGGGGAAGAGCCCAATGAGGGAATCTCCATTGTAATCTATCGGATGTATTCAGACTTCTGTAAAACAAACACCAGAGAAAAAACTTAACTTTCTTGGGCACTTTGAAATTCCAGACCGGAGATTTCAGCTTGGGTGAGGGAGTGGTCAGAAGTACAGGAAAGTGCTCTTCTTTGGGATAAGATACAGTACTATCAACAGGAACAAATCTTACAGTAAGACCCAAATTCTCAATTGTCATAAAAAGGATAATATTAAATGGAAAAATTTAGCTGTCAAAACCCACAGTTGGACATTGCAATACACTAACCTCCCTTTTTGGGTTGGAACTGTGTTTACATGTAGTTCCAAACTTCCACTCTTTCTTCTTCTTTGTTGATCCTTCAATAACAACTTACCAGCTCATACCATTTCTGCATTCTTTCTTGCTATTCCTGAATTTTGTCATGAAAATATGTCCACCATATTGGTAAATTAAATGTCTCCTATTCTCTTCCATCTAAGCTTTGCGACAAATTTAATATACTATTACATTTACATGCCTCTTGCTTGGAATTGTGGTCGGGTACTGTTGACATTGTTTTTCCCTTTAAATTTGGGTCATCAAATTTTCATCATATGATTTAAACTTTAGATTTTTAGATCCTGGTTTTTGTTAATACGGTCTTTTTGAAGTTCTTGCATTGATGAAAATATGCCATTTATTTTTTGGCCAGTTAAAACAGTAATTGAAGTCTATCTCGAACCTCTCGACTACATTTCTTCTTGATGTGAAAGTTAGTTTCTATATTTTATGCAGTTCTCTGGAAGATGCTTATACTTATTTTGGTCTCATTTTTCTTGAATGAGACTGATCTCTAAAGTGTTTTCACTAGCTTATTGCTTGTTGCAGGCATCTGATGCATATAGTTTTTGTTCACTATTTGGAAGTTAAGGTAATCCAGTGCTTTACTTCTTCTTTCTTTATCATTGTTCTCATTGTCCACATTGTTAATTGTTATTGTTTAAAATTATCTTCATTTCTATCAGAAATTATTTTTTCCTTCTCTGGGTAATAATATTGTTGACTTCATTAGTGATGCATAGGATACGAAAGCTAGATGGCCACATGTAATAAATTAGACTTCATTAATGATGCATATACACAAATATAAACTTTTCATTGATCATTTCATCAAAAGAAGAAAAAAATATATCAATTTCATAATTTTTTTTGGTATAAGAAACCTGTATATTAAATATATATATATATATATATATATATATATATATATAGAATACAACCTAAGGGCTGAGTAAGATCTGGGAAAGAGAGAACCCCCACCCTCAAAAGACTAAAGAAGATCTTTCCATTTGCTTATAATCATGAAAAGGCTGGAGTTACAATAGAATTTCCTATAATTAAGACACTATCAAGAAGAGGTGAGTTGTACACTTCAACAAATAATTTTCAAAAAATAAAGACTTATCTTCAAGGGTACGATGATTCCTTCCCAACCAAATATGTCAGAGGAGAGCTCTAGCAGCGAAACTTAACTTTTAGGGGTAACAACCAACCTGCCAAAACTTCTAACAGCCAGTTGTCTAGTTGTTTGGGGAAGCAAGTGGAGATACCAAAAGGGTCCATCAGAATAGAAAGAACCACCCCCGGGTTGAATAGGTGAAGTGGACAAAAATATGATCTATGGATTCAGAGCTTTTACTGCATAACTACACACTGAGGGAGACAAAACCATTGACTACATCTTATCTAACAAAAAACCACTGCCTACATTTCTTTTGGAGGATGTCTTGGGTATTTAAACTTCTATGAGCCAAAGACCACAACAAAAACTTTGACCTTTTCCGGAATTCTAAACTTCCAAAGGGAGAATGAGGGAACATTTCAATGTAGATGTCGATTCTGAAAGTTTCAAAAATTCTGATTTGGTAGAAAACACACCCCTTTTTTCCACCGACCAATAAGCTCTATCATCCCCTTCCCTTAAGCGCACCACGTGTAGCAAATGAATTAAGCCTAGCAGCTTTCCATCTCTCAGTTGAAGAGGACCTTTTTGCAGGCCTTCTTGCCAACACTGAGCCATTTGTAGCCTTGTTTTTTCATAGAAATGCTATATATATCCAAAAAGTAGCTTGGAGAGAGTTCTCTCCTATCCATCTATCTGTCCAGTCCAGAACTTGATTCTACCCCACCATTTTGAGCTTTAAAATCCAGAAACCGGAAGAAGAGGCCGTTTTTTTTGGCAATATTGAACCATGGCCTCCCTTTGGTTTTGCCTTTGGGGAGTGGAGTAGACCAACCATGAGGATTTTTTTATTTTTTATTTTTTAGATAAGAAACAAATTCATGGAGAAAAGAGACAAAAGAACAGCCTAAGGACAATTCCTCCATAGAGCTTCCTTCTCTTGGGTAAATCTCCAAAGCCATTTAAGGGGTAGGCCAATTATTCTTTTGTTGGAAGGCCCCGATTCCTAGCCCACCCTACTGCAAAGGAAGGGAGGTTTTCCCCCAATTTAATAAGTGGTTGCTGTAACCTTTGGGGTTCCCTCCATTCCAGAAAAAATCTCTTACCAGCTTCTCGATTTCATTTGTTACTCCTTTAGAACGATTTGTAATTTATCCTTTAGGATTTCCTATATAAAAAGTTCTGTTAGATTCCTATAGCACTCTAGTAGAGACCAGATAGAGACAGTAGTTTTGGTTTGTGTTGACTATTGAAATATGAGTTTTCCTGTCCCATAGGTTTTTTTTCTCTCTCTTCGTGATTCTCTCTAAATCTTCGTTTGATTCCTCCTATCTCTTCCCTTTCCCTGATCGTCAGTGTTCTCTCCCTAATTTTCTAATTATCCCGTTTCTTTTGTGCATTGCATTGATAATTGCTTTATGATTTATTAAGTAAAAGTTCGAAGTTCAAAGTGAATTGATCAAAATTCTAAGAATTAAGTGAATCGGGTTTTTTAGGTTAAACATAGCCTTGAATAATAAAGCAGTATACTGAGTATTTTACAGGTGCACTGCAGTGAGGCTACTACAGTGAGGCTTCCTCACTGAGGCCTGTGCCTTAAAATTATATATTTTACTGAAATTTGAAAATAAATTGACTAAAAGCACCCATATCTTTATCCAATTCCTTAAAAAGGTGCTAATTTCTTTTATTATTCATTATTTCATATGATTCTTTCATTTCTGATAATGTTATTTCTTACATGCGTAAAGATTTTATTTATTCTTTTTAATTGTGCACTTTACAAAAAAATCTTTTGTGTGTGTCAGAGGGCTATTGCGTCTGTGTACTTGCTCTTTAGAAACATGGATATTAATATTTATATAATGCCAGTGGATTTTTTGCTGCACATTTTTTATATGTTTATTTTTATTTTTATAATGACTTAATTATCATTTAATTTTTCTAATATTCTATGGATTTTAGATAATTAATATTTAATTTGAATATTCAACTCAGATGATAAATTTTGATATCAGGGTAATAGAACCAGTATTGGAGCTGTTGTTGAGACTGATGAGGTTTCATCAAGTTCGCAGAAGAGCAGTCCTAGGAGTTCTAGCTATTCCAGCAGTCTTAATCAAGCAACTTCTGAAAATGCAGATTCTCCTAGTCCAACGAGTACTTTGACGTCATTTTGTGAAGATGCTGATACTGGTATTTTCCTTCTTCATGGTAGTTTTATTTATTAATTTTAATTTTAATTTTAATTTTTATAACTTAACTGCACAAAAAGGACGACAACCTAAGGGCGAGGGGAGGAAACCCCTCCCACAAGAAAAACTAATTACAAAAAGGTCTTCCAGTTGTCAATAATCATGGAAAGGCCATAATTACAAAAACAGTGTATCTAGTACTCCACCAAGAAGCCAAGTACCGGATACTATCCACAAAAGAATACTCCAAACTGTGGTTATCCTATAGAACTCATTGATTTTGTTCCTTCCACGTTGTCCATAAAACAGCCTTTGTCGCACAACACCACAGAACCTTGGCTTTGCCTTTGAAGCCCAGGCTCGCTAGCGATTCCATCATTCACTCATCCACCTTCTTCGGGAGGCACAAAGAAACACCAAACTCCTTAAAAACAAAAGACCATGCCTTAAAGGTAAAGGGGCAATGAGGAAGCAAATGATCAAAATGATCAAAAGAATCTTCTCCTCTTTTGCAAAGACAACAGATAGAAGGAGACACCATCCAGTGGGGAAATATTCTCTGAAGCCTCTCTGACATGTTGAAACCTGTGTGTAAAGAAGACCAGATGAAAAATTTCACTCTCTTGGGAACAAGAGCCTTCCACACAAGCCTCCGCCAATGTAGTTTTCTTGTTTATTGCTTGCAGTCCAGATTTTTTCTGTTTTCACGTAGAATCTCTAGGCTATGAGATTTATTCTATTCAGTGGATGAAAGATGTTAAGAGCATACTTTGATCTCAGTTATCAATGTTTTTTACTCTATATTTATAATGGAGGTTGCTACTTAAATTTGCATTTTTTGTGCAGAAGATACTTACCAAGCGACTTCAAGATTGCACTCATTTCCCACATCACCAAAAATGGGAAATGGTCTCCTGTTGCACAAAAAAGATGCTGCTCTATCAAATTTGTATTTTCCACATTCTCCATCTGGTAATCCTCGTTTGATAATTTTTTTCCCCAACTTTCATTACAACATTTAACATATATAATATATTCTTCATGTGCTCCCTGTTAAAAACTTCGATATTACCTAACAATAAATGATGACTTATGTAATGCTCCAGGTAATGTTGAAGGTTGGTCATCAGTTCCCGATATGGAATTTGTATCACAAGTTCAGAAAGATGGACTTGGGGGTACTGATAGCGGTACTTGTGTGATTGGTTCTCAGCAGACACTAAGCTCTGCCTCGTGGGAAGAGATCTTCCAACAATGTTCAACTGGATTTCAAACTGTACCTTCTCATGTTTTAGCCTCTTCAATTGATCCTCTGTCTTCTGGAATTGCACTTGGACAAGAGAATTCTATTCCTGGCAAGGCTTTAGCCAGTAATAGTGTTATTAAAGAGGACTTTGGGAGCTCTCTGACGATGTCATCAAACTGGCAGGTATTTAGAAGTTTTTTCACTTCCGTTTTTTTGTTCTTACAATCCTATTTTTAAATATGAGTAAATAAAGTCTCTTCGGAGACATCTGATAAAATTGGAGCGATACAGAGAAGATTAGCATGACCCCTGCGCAAGGATGACACTCACAAATCGAGAAATAATCCAAATTAAAAAAAAAATCTGAGTAAATAAAATTTTCAATCTACTGGGATTGGTTGGGCATGAATAGACTAGATTGGGTTGGTGAAGTTTAGTTTGTGAAGAATTTACCAGCCTGGCAATGTACGACACAGGAATGAGTGATACTTTTCTTTGATATTGAGAAGTTACAAAGAGAATTACGAAGCAAATAGTTCCAAGAATTTACTATGACGGAGACCCGTGTCTGTCTTATTGAGAAAACATTTCCAACGAGAGAACTAAGCCCTGAAAATTCAAGATAACCCATAAATATAAGCCATGAAATCCGACATGCCCTTTTCAAAAATCAATAAACTCCCTTTAGGAGTAAGACAAAATAACAACCACACCCAAAAATACAATTCTAGAAAACAATATCCCTTTCTAAACAAGTTTAACTTAAAAATGCTGCCCAACAAGAATTAATACAAAAGAAGAATAAAATACGAAAGAAGAATAGTTGCTAAAAATATTTGAAAAGAGCACCACTTTATGTTTGATGAGATCATGCCTTTCCTCTCAACAAACTTGCTTGCCCTTCTTTTCTGTCCATAGCCTCTCAACAAACTTGCTTGCCCTTCTTTTCTGTCCATAGCCTCTCAACAAACTTTGACAATATTTATCCATAATAGTTTTGCCCTCCTCTTTAACCAATGACCACGGGGTAGATAGAAAATATTGTTTAGCATCATAGAAAGAATCTATGAGCATCCAAAGCTCGGAAGCATAGCTTTCCATATTATTCTGCTGTAGGAACAATTGAAGAACATATGATAATGATCCTCCCTGGCTTTTAAGCATAACATACAACAGTTAGGGTTAAATGTCCGATATGTACATCTTTTTTTTACTCTGTCGGCTGTGTTTAGCTTTCCATGTGGACTAGCCAAATCAAAATATTTTCTTTTCTGGGTCTTGTTGACTACCACAAAGCATTTACAAAGAGTTTAGGTAATGTAGGATCAGCAACTAGCTCTTTAAGGGCTGTACTTGCACGTTATTTTTTTTGGATAGGAGTACTTACACATAATTTAGTGACTGTATTAGTGTTAAAGAGTGTTATGACTGTACTTACACATTAATAGATCCCTGTAATTGCACAGTACTTATCAGTGGCACTTATCTATTCTGTTTCCCCTCTCGATAATCAACCTCCCCACTTAAAGGATAAAAACATAATTAATTATTTTTTTTTATATTTAAAATACCGTTGAAGACGATGAATCATTGACAATCCCATGGCTTATTCACGATATAAACCTTATGAATGATTTGTATCACGCTCAAACTTTTAGGTTGCTTCCGAAGTTCCAATCATTTTCAAGGTCTTTGCTTGTATGAGGTGGTAACTGGAAGGTTAGAGTCTTTAGGTATAATGTTCTTGACACATTTTTTTCTTCTTTTCAAAAATGTTCTAAACACATGAACATCTTTGATTACCTCACCTTTTACTTTGAATGGAGGTTCTGCTATTCAATCATGTTCTTGCTCATTCATTGAGTTATTGGACATTCTTCATTACAAATGAATATAGTTTCTTTGATAATAAATTTTTTTGGACTCTGGTTTAAAATTTTGAGTTGCTCATAGTTGTTTATAACCTTTTATGGATTCAACTACAGGTTCCTTTTGAAGACAGTACTCTATCCTTTTCAAAAGGGCACGTTAACCAGTTTCCAGATTTGTATTCAGTTTATGACATAGATAGCAGATCAACTGAGCAGAAATCTCAAAATGCAACTTTTGGAAGTAGTCATGAGATGTTTTGTGCTCATCCTGGCATCAACAATGAGGAGCTTTTGTCAAACGATGTCCCATTACAGTTCAAAGGAGAATCTTACTCTGCAATGAGGTTAAGTTCTGAGAATGATAGGTCTAACGAAGGTACCATCAGCTATTCTTTGACTTTGAAACAGTCATTAATAGATGGAGAGGAGAGTTTGAAGAAAGTCGACAGCTTCTCACGGTGGATAACTAGAGAGCTTGTGGAAGTTGATGATCTGCACATGCATCCATCATCTGGCTTGTCTTGGAGCACTGTAGAATGTGGTGATATCGTCGATGATTCATCATTAAGTCCTTCTCTTTCTGAAGACCAGCTTTTCAGTATAACTGACTTTTCTCCAAAGTGGACATTTGCAGATCTAGAAACTGAGGTAAACAATTATTTTTATTTTATTTTATTTTTTTATGAAAAGAGGTAAAGAAACGTTAGATAGAACTGGAAAAAAGTTATTTGGATCAAGCCTGAGAAGCAACCCAACAAAGCCTTTGAAAATTCATTCGTTTACCGTCTCCATTTTTCTACAGTTTCTTATTTACTTTTGTCATTTACTTTTCTCTGACTGTTTATTTCCTCTTTTCTATGCTTCACATATATTTCAGACATGTGAGACATTAAATATTTTGTTCAAAAAACTAAATTATCTTTGTTTTCTTTAAAACTGAGCAGGTTGTGATTATAGGAAAATTTCTGGGGAACAACCATAGCACAAAATGTTACTGGTCATGTATGTTTGGGGAAGTCGAGGTTCCTGCAGAGGTTTTGGCTGATGGAATCCTATGCTGCCATGCACCACCACATAGTGTTGGGCAAGTTCCTTTTTATGTTACATGTTCCAACAGATTAGCTTGCAGTGAGGTGCGTGAATTCGATTACTTAGCAGGCTCTGCCAAAGATGTAGATGTTACCGATGTGTATGCTGCTGCTACAGAAGAATTATTTATGCATTTGCGATTTGAGAGGTTACTGTCCCTTAGATCTTCAGATCCTCCCAATAACCTCTCTGAAGGTACCTTGGAGAAACGAAACTTAATCAGAAAGCTTATCTTATTGAAAGAAGAAGAAGATTGTTATGGGGAAGAGCTAAATTCTCAGAATGACCGAGTTCAGCATCAAAGCAAGGATTCTCTTTTTGGAAAGTTGATGAGAGAAAAGCTGTACTCATGGCTTATCCGTAAAGTAATTGAAGATAGCAAAGGTCCTAATATATTGGATGATAAGGGGCAGGGGGTACTGCATCTAGCAGCAGCCCTTGGTTATGATTGGGCAATTAGACCAGTTGTTGCTGCAGGAGTGAGTATAAATTTTCGAGATGTTAATGGATGGACTGCTGTACATTGGGCAGCATTCTGTGGCAGGCAAGGACCTTGAAACTCACGAATGAAAACCCTTTCTTTCATGCTAATCAGACATTGAAAAAGCTCAAAAGAATGCTTGGTGCTTATTTCTTCAATATCAAAAACCTTTTTTTTTTCTCTTAAATCATCTTTAAAAAGTTCCTAAAAATACAAAATAAAAGTGCTGACTGGGATCAAACAGTGCAAGCTTCATGCTAGGCATGCATTTAGGTACAAATACATACAGGAGGATTGGTGAAGATGCAAGTAAGAACCTAAAAGATGCAAGTTCTCTCTGTTTCTTATCAAAAAAAGTACTGGGGTATAATGATGATAATTGTTTTAGTGTAAAAAGAAAAATTATGAGATATCTGAGTATAAAGAATGTAACAAGTCACATAATGCTTAATAGGGGGAAAAGTATTTTTTTTTTTTTGTCCTCCTAATTCCTTCATCATTAATGACACTGTTAATCTGAATTTTAAGTAGTCTTCCATACTGATGCTCCGTTTCATGCAGGGAGCAAACAGTTGCAATCCTTATATCTTTGGGTGCTGCTCCTGGATTGCTGACAGATCCATCTCCAGAATATCCTTTGTGCAGAACGCCTGCAGACCTTGCTTCTACTAATGGACACAAAGGAATCGCTGGTTTTCTAGCGGAGTTATCTTTGACCAGCCACCTCTCATCCCTAACAATGGCAGATACCAAAGAAGATGGTGTGCTAGCTGGTTCAACAAGGATGGCAACACCGTTAAGTGATGGTTTTATGCCTGGAGATTTGTCCTTGAAGGATTCACTGACTGCTGTCTGTAATGCTACTCAAGCTGCTGGCCGCATACATCAGATGTTTAGATTGCAGTCATTTCAGAGGAAAAAGTTATCGGAGAGTGGCCCTGATGAATTTGGTTACTCAGATGATAGTGCTATTTCATTGGTCACTGCCAGGGCACGTAAGTCTGGACTAAGTAACAGCCCAGCCCATGCTGCTGCAGTTCACATACAGAAAAAGTTCCGTGGTTGGAGAATGAGAAAAGAATTCTTGCTAATACGTCAAAGAATAGTTAAAATTCAGGTATACACTCGCTTATGCACAATAAATAAGCTCCATACGTTGACGCGTCAGTGTTGTGAATGTTTAACTGAATGAGAATAGGAAAACTTCTAATGAGTACAGCAGTTTAATCCAAAAGCTCCTTGTACTTGCAAGTATGATTGTTCTGTGAAACCCCAAGTATTAGGCATACTGGTTATGCAGATTTTGATTTGAACTAATAGCCCGTTATTTTGTATTAAGCACAAAAAGTTGCTTTCTGATTCTGAAAATTTACTTGGCAGGAACAGTTTTAAGAAAATAGAAAAACAAGGCAAATTTTATACTATTTTTATGCCTTTTCTTTTCTGTTGTTTCAGTAACAATTAATAAGTTTTCAGTATGAGTACCCTTGGTTTATGATATTTTTGGTGTGAAAATTTAACAAAAACGATGTAAAGAAAAATTTCCAGAAGTTTTGATAAAATAAAAATACTGGAAATTTGTTTTCAAACTTATGCTAAAATATAGCTTTTTGTAAACAACCTTCAGAAAATATATGGAGAAAACTGGTTTTTTGAGTTTGAACCTATGTGTGCAATGTTCTTTCCAAGCGCCTTTTTTTTACTTTCTTGAATTATGATTAGGGTCTGCAACATGAATCATAAAACTAACTTCTACTTTTCATGATTGCAAGGCTCATGTAAGAGGACACCAGGTGAGGAAGCAATATAGAAAGATTGTTTGGTCGGTAGGATTATTAGACAAGATTATTTTGAGATGGAGACGGAAGGGGAGTGGCTTGAGAGGGTTCCGACCTGATACAGTTGCCAAGGATCCGCCCCCACAGATGGAACCACCTAAAGAGGATGATTATGATTTTCTGAAGGAAGGAAGGAGGCAGACTGAGGAAAGATTGCAAAAAGCACTTACTAGAGTTAAGTCCATGGCTCAGTATCCTGAGGGACGAGACCAATACCGCAGGCTACTTACCGTGGTTCAAAAGTGCCGAGAAACCAAGGTATTGATATCTATCATTTTTCATCCACCGCCTGTCTTGTTTTGCCATAGAATCTAGTATTCTTCTGGATCCACTTTCTCTATATGGGTGAACTTCATATCTTTAACTTTCATGGTTGATTTTGACCCCTATTAATATGTTGAATTGGGTGTTCTATGAAGTACGAACTCGGTTTTAATCAAGTTTGTAGCTATATAATCATCGTTTTGCCTATTAGTGACGCCAACATGTCGGGTGACACTTTGCTAAACTCTCTGTTTTACATCTGAAATTTTGTGCATATGAGATATCTATTCGATATCTTGAAACTTATTCTAGCCATTTTAACTTCAATAGTACTATTCTCAAGGTTATGAGGTCGTCTTTAGTTCTAAATTGGTAGAAGTTAAAAGAGCTAGTACTTCGGTTAAGGAAGTTATTTCTTCTACTAATAATATCTGCAACCAAATTGACAATTGTGTATTGATGACTTGATCTATTGTTTGCAAATATTTATCAGGTGAGTAATATGGCTATTACTAGTAGTTCAGAAGAGATAATAGAAGGCGATGACATGATTGATCTCGACACACTGCTGGATGACGATACCTTGATGTCTATGACATTTGATTGAGAAACTGTTGTGTAATCAATCAGCCTACTGTTCTGATGCTCCTAACTTCAGCTTTTGCTTGTAAATACATCTAACTAATGTATCAGATTCAGATCTTTATATTATGAACAATCAATGTTGGCTGCCTACCGAAAGGGTATCGATTTTATAGGTTGCTGATAGGCTTACCTGATGTTGTAATTTATGAAGGAGAACCAGATTGTGTCAATTGATTAAATTTGAACCAAATTACTAGAGAAGTTGTATATGGAAAGAACACTTATTACTGCTAAAATTTGTATGTTGTAGTGTTATAAGCTTTGAAGTTTGATCATATTGGGTATTTCGTTTTATATTTCTACTCTACTTTGAACTGTCTGTTGGTCTTTTTTTTCTTTTTTTTTTTTCTTTTGTTTGTCAGCAGTTAGGGATGGCCCATCCCCACCCCATTGGGGACTTTTTCCCCGTCCCCAAAATTTTGGGGCGGGGATTCACCGATCAGGGACGGGTTCCCCGAGGAACCCATCTCCATTATAAATATATTTTTTTTATTTTTTAATTAATTTTTTTATTATTAGTATAAAAAGTGAAAAAAAAGTGGCTAAATTGAATATTAGCTTGAGTTTTTTTAATTAAAAAGTATTTATAAAATTAATATATATTAATATTATTATATAAAAAATAGAAAAATAATAAAAATTTAAATGGGGATGGGGCGGGGGGACCGATCCCCGTCCCCGTCGGGGAACCTGATTGGGATCCCCGGTTTGACACGTCCCCGGTCAAATCAGAAAATCCTCGATCCGATCGTGTTGGGTACCCACGGGAATCGGGTCCTACGGATATTTTTGCCATCCCTATTAACAGTAGAACTATATTCACTTTAGCCTTTGTTCACCAAAAAAAACTTTTGAGTTAATAGTTCATATGAACATCAACCCTAACTAATTTTCATTTATATATCTCTAAGTTTGTAATAATTCTTAAATTATGTCAAAAGAAAGGAACTCTTATTACCTAAGTTCAACCTCGTGTCATACTGCATTTGTTCTACTACAAATAAATTATTGCAAAATAACTATATTTTTATATTTTAAAAATATACTAATAATTGTTATAAATTACATGATGATAATTTTATCTTTATATAAAAAATTTATTGCCTTGGAATTTTTTTTGGTTTTAGAAAAAAAAATTGATATTTCTTTTACAATAAGTTCAAATTTATTTTGATTTAAAGTATATCAATAATGCTATTAAAAATATATTAGGTTAAAAAAGATTTTTGGTTCCTACACTTTCATTGGTAATAACAATTTAATTCTTGTACTTCTAAATTTGTTACAGTTTTGTCCCTTAACTTTAGTGTGTAGCAATTTATTTCCTATACTATGAAAAATCTTATCAAGATTAAATATTGATTTTAACTACTCAATAAAGACTTATATCTCTTTTTTAGCCGCTCAATTTCAAAATATTGAAGTAAATTGCAAGAAGATTTATATAACTATGTTTTTGATATGATCAAAACGAGCATAGCTAAACAGTAATTGTCATATATCTCTAACCAACAGGTTATGAGTTTGATACTCCACCCTACATGTTGTACTAAAAAATTCTTTCAACTAAACGAGGAAAAAAGAAAGTTTGAAATGTTTATACCTATTAACAAAATGGAGGAGACCAAAGATGTTGCCCGTGAAAGTAATTATTTTGTAGCTGCAATCCTGATCCATTCTCTTAGTGCGCATGAACTTGAAAAGTTCTTTCTCACCTTAAGACACTCCTTTGATCCTCTTTTTCCCCCCAAAGTGAATCTTATGCATTTAGTACCAACATAATTTACATGGCTCGTGTTACATTTGTCCACCTATTTAAGTTTGAGGTTCCATTAACAAATATGACATGAACTTTGATAGAAAACAAATGTAACATGATTATGCACACGTTAAATTATAAGTTTAGTATATCTATTTAATTTTTAAACTTACAAAAAGTTATGCTGAGGTCCAGAACTTTCATTTATGTTTCTAATAATTCTCTACTATTGACGACAATATTACTCAAATGATGACGTGACATGTTGACTGAATTAACAAGTGATGATTCACTACACAGAAATAGTGATGATTTAACTCTACGCAAGAGTAGTAATGATTTAACACATGACACAAAGGAGTAGATTAGGTGAATAAAAGAAATATGAGGAAAGAAAAAAAATCTTATGGATGCAAGAGAGCAAAATACATTTTGAATTGAATTTTCAATTTTGAATACTTTTCTACTGCACAACATTGAATTTTTGGCACATGTCAAAAACTACAATAACTACATTGAATTTTTGAATACTTTTCCCTCTATCTACAATATCTACAATTCTCTCTTACGTGTCAAAAACTTAGTGGTGGGTAGCAGGAGATCCATGTTGCCTAGTTAGTAAAGAGTATTTGTCCTTAAAATTTTTTAGCCCATTGCTTTTATTTTACTTACTGAGTTGGTTTAGTCATTTATGTCAGTCCCATTGTGCAAAATTGTTACTTGTTAGTCTAATTAACCAGCAACATCAACATTTAAGTAACAATACTTGTTAGTCTAATTAACTAGCAACATCAACATTTAACAATATCATGGACTTCACAAAATTAAAATCAAAAGCTTAATGACATAATCAAAACTTTTTAATGTTTAAACACCAACCATCAAGATTCAAGAACTAAATTTAACAAATAAATTATAACTTTAGCATATGGGTTTCGATGATTATATTTATTTAGTCCTTGTTTCACTGTTTAAACAGGCACTTGGGAGGAGTTAGCTCTCCTGCCACACCATTGTCACTCACTACTCCCCTCATCTAACCTATTTTTCTCTCACTACCAATCTATCTGCTTATACCCTTAATTTCATGAATAAAATATGACCAATTAGTTGACTAACAAAACTACTTATCTTGGCAAGAAAAGATCTGCTCAGGCTTCAACTTTTCACTCACCTGAATCCAATAACTGATCTAATCCAAACTGAATAAATTTGATTTGATAGAGCCAATAGGTTCAACTGATTTGGCCAAAAAAAAATCGAGTCGAACTGATTTACTCCCCTACTTTTGACTAGATAATGGTCTAAACTCGATTCATCTTTATTATTATTATTTTTTTTTTATATCCGCAAGTACCTAAACCAGCTTACGCGCACATCGACTAATCTCACAAGACAACTGCCTAATCCTATAACATTTAGTGTCAGGAAATACATATGAATTACTAATTCCTAAAATAGGTGGTCGTCATGGAATTTGAATCCATTCTCTCTTAATTAACTCGATTCATCCTTATTCAGATTTCAATCCTATTATGAAAACTAAAGTCAACAAACTTTCTGAAAAGGAGAAACCTGTGGAACCAATGAACGTAACTAAATAACAAAAGTTAACAAACTTTCTGAAAAGGAGAAACCTGTGGAACCAATGAACTTAACTAAATAACAGAATAGTTGGAGTTTTATAGATCCATTTCTCCACCTCGTCTATATCAATACATGAATATCCTATACTGAACACTTTTACACTGAGATGAACTAAGTGTATCCTGGAATTTCTTCCAAACATTTACGCCAACAATTCTCAACCTTCTCCGTAGTACTCCCTTCAATTCTCTACATTCAGCAGCCTAAATGGTCTGTAAACAAGTTCAGGAAAAGGTAAAAAAAAAAAAAAAGGGTTTCACAAGAACACTGAACAAGCACCCAAAATTTCTATTGAATTTCTCACAGTTCAAGGGAGAAGAATTCCACATGGTCATGTGCCAAAATAAGGTTTGACTACAGAAAAGTTGAATAATATATACTGACAAAATTTGCAGCAGCAGCCAGCAGCTCTCACTGGCTTCTAACTCTACTCTTTGCTTCTATCAGCTTGGCCTTTGTTTTTTCCCCATTTTACCTTTTTGGTCATTTCATTAGGGTTTTCTTTTTTGTTTTCTGTATGAGAATTGGGTCCTCAACTGATCAGTTTTCTTAATCTCTTTTCAGCAAGATTCGCAACTTTATTCTGCGGTTCGAGGACAAGAGCATGCTTGAAATCTGCAAAAATATGAGAAAGGAAAGCAAATATTTCTTAACCATGCACTGAAACACGCTTTCGATAACAAGGAAAAAACACTTCCATAAGAATGCACAAAACCTACGGAACATGAAATGCCCTCATGACCATTTTACATTAACTATGAACACGACATCACCTGGTTTCTTTTACGAGGGAGACTTGGGTTAATTATTAAAATCTCTCTCCAGAAAGCTTGTGAATATGTTTCACTTGAGCATCCAAAATTTTCAGGGTTCTAAACTCTAAAGAATACCCATAAGTTCTGCTAGATGCACAGATCAATCTAATATTATTAAAATATAAATTTGCTCTTAAAATTTTAATACACTAAAAAATCTTAATCTATTGAGCAATGTGTGTAGATTTAATTCTTTTAGGAAAATGCAATAGTTCAATAAGGCATGCAATGAAAGAGCAGCACTAGAACACCTGGACAATGAAGCTTCAGATTACAATATGTTTCAAGTTCTACCATGAAAAAAATCATAATTCTCACCTTTGATTGCTTCTTTACAAAGAAAAAGAGATTCTCTGGCAGTTCCCCGTCTGAGATATGCCTTCACATTCTGCATAATGCAATAAATGTTAAGAATATCATCTTTTTAGCAGATTCTCTAGCACCAAAGATGAAATTGAAAGTAGGCATCTTATAAACACCCAGCCCAGCATGTGTAACAGAGTATTCCAATTCACCTAAAATGGATAAATATTTAATATGCTCCTGCTCCACCAAAGACTTGGCACTTGGTTTATGTACAATAAATATCTTCATAGGAAGCTATCCTCGTGAATAAATCTTTTTAGAAAATAAAATTTAATAATAATTAAGAGAGAGCAGCAGCAGCAAGTACAGCAACAGTAAAAATCTTGCTGGAAGTTTTAGTCCCCATCTACAGCTTGGTGGATGGATGTAGCAACAAACATTAAATTGGATGTGTTAGTCACATTTGTCCCATTTAGAGTGGTGGTGAATTTTGAAGGGAGTGGACTATGGCTAGGTATAACACCTCCCCTTAAATGTCTACAACAGAGTTTTGCAACTGTCCTTCCCTTATCCTCAACCTTTAAGAGCCCTTTTTGTAATGTTTTCCTTGGTGTCTTGATTTTTGCCTTTGCTGTTTTTTGTTTTGGCTCCTTCTATGTTGGACTGTTTTTCTGAATAGCCCCTGTATATTCTTTATTTCGCTCTAAAACAACAGTTTCTCAAAAAATAAGAATGAATTCCCAGCGTTACCTTCTTGTCAAGTAATATTGCTTTGCTGCAGTCATCTTCGGCTTGTTGAAAGCTACACATGCATTGGAATTCAAGTAATAGATGAAGTTAGTACGTACCACGTAAAATTTGGAAATAACTGATTGAAATCTTTGAGGTAACATACCAGCCTAACTCTAAGTAAGCAGCAGCTCGGTTGCTATAGTAAGTCGCAATTGTCCCATTTAATTTGATAGCTTCCGTGTAATAATTAACAGCTTTATTCCACTGTCTTCCTTTAAAAGCTGCATTACCCTGGAAATCATTTCTTTCCTTTTTAGTAAACCGTTCAAACTGAAAAAATGATAGCCACCAACAAAGAAACTAAGTTGCAATGAGTAAAACTAGTAAACTCCAGATGTTTCTGAACCAACGATGTCAAAGCACACAAAGTTGGCGATATCATGCATAACTTTCATGTCAAATCTCCTGCAACTACATAATGTTTGGGCAATATTTTTTATACTAAAGCTCAAAAGCTCGAGTTAGTAGTCAACAAATAAAAATAAAGTTCATAACGACAAAATCAGTATAATGCGTAGGGGATGACAACTTGAAGTGGGAATGTGAAAATTGAAATACCAGTTAGAAAGAGTAGACATATAAGGTGGAAAAAACTTTTTCATTCTATTCGAAGTCAAGGGTTAAGAACAAGTGCAAAGACAGGATGGAGAAAAATATTTGAAATAATCCTTTTCGAAATCTATAATCTGAGCCATCATTGAGAAAAATCTAGGCCTTCACACATTCTGTTCAAGGATCCCCAAGGAAATTACTACACTTCTATTACTCATCTAATATTACATCACATTTATTTTCCCGCATCCAGTCACTCAATTTTTACAAGCAGAGGGGGACAAATAACTTTATCATTTTACTTAAACCCTAAAACGATATCGAAAAACAATCTTTCTAGTTTGTGGACAAGAAGAAACCGCTGTACATTAAATTACATTATCATGTTAGTATTGAGATAACTGACATAAAGTATTAAAGTCATTGTATTAGCAATTGTGGCAAACCTTCTCTTTCAATAGTTCAGAAGCATCCATGTCACCGTTGGTATCAGCAAATGGCAATAAATTGGAAGCAATGCCAACTTGCTCTTGAAGAGCTGAGTACATATCCAAGACAGTGTCCAGAAGAAACTTATCGGCACCATGAAATGATAAAAGTGAAATGGAGATGGGACAATCATCGTGCCTTCCTAATGGAACGGCAACCTGGCAATATGATGTTATAACATTAACATGTTACTCTGAGCCTTCTAGACAGAAAATAACTGAAACTTGATTCTATTAACTTACTTCACAGCAACCAGACATGCTTGAAATGCTTGTTAATGCAAATATCCTATCACGAAACTCAGAAGAAATTCCCTTCTTTGAACTAAATTTTTGTGGGGGATCTGCAATTGTGGGAATGACTAATATCCCATCATCCTAGAGTGAAAAAGAAAAGAATAACAACAAATAATTAGCAGGAAAAACATAAAGAAATAATTAGAGTAAGAATTAGTGACCAATACAACTATTCCCAAGTCATTCTAAGAGTAAAACCATACAGTTGATAAATAATAATAGCACTTTTTCTTTTTTGAAACAAGAAATCCTTTTCATTGATATACATAAAAGCATTATCAAAGACAAATGATGATAGTATGATAGCTCCAAGCTAAGTATTCAGAAATCTAAATCATCAGGATTTTTGTAAGTTGTAACCTTCCTTCCCACTGCCAAATATGATTATTATGAGTTTATTTGTCCACTTCCCTAATCTTTCAACACTTCTTCTCATCATGCCTTGTCGTGTCCACTCAAATTTCCTTTGTCCCTTAAAATGGTGAAATGGTTAAACGACTCCGAACAGTAATGGAAAAATAGTTCCTAGGCTACAAGGAGGTCTGAATAACAGTTTAACCCTGGAGAACAAAATCAAGGTGGAGAGTATTCAACTGGAAAGTTTTTGGAATATAACAGAGCTTTAATCTGAATATTGCATACGAATAATGTAAAACATACATAAGAGGCTGAAGATATTGCCTGAAAAAATCTACCAAACATGTCCTCTCTCCCCTGCTCTCTCCTCTTCAGTCACCTCACCCTTGCTTGCTGCTTCACTTTCCATGGCCAGGCTTATGTCTGTCGTTCCAGCTAAGCATGGAAAGTTGTCAAACTTCTCATACGATTTAAGGAAAGAGTTTTCATATGCTCTTGTGGGAACAGACTAAGCAGCTACTTAAGGAGAATGGTACATTCAACATGTATGCAGTTATAGTGCTTAGGGAAGCTGAAGGTGGTTGGGCGAAGTATCTCCTAACTTGCTTCAGAACCCCCTCAAAACATTAAACCTTTAGAAAATTAAGAGGGAAATTGGTTCTGGTTCCTTTTGCGTACTAAAAGAGGTTGACTCACAGAAGGAATGTACTAAAAGAAGTTGACTCACAGAGGGAATGGCCTTACAAAATTTGTTCATTTCAAAGAGGGCAGCAGTGATTTCGACGTGCACCCGAGCGCTCGCCTTAGGCGAGAGGCGACGCGATTTCGCCCAGCTGCGCCTTGCAAGGTGCCCAGGCGAGGGCCTTCAATCGAGCGCTCACCTTGTGCGCCTCTCACCTGAGGCAAGGCGATCGCCTCGTTGAAGCGAGGTGGTCTGCCTCTTTTTTTTTTTTTTTTTTAAATAGGTTTAGAAACATATTCTATTTCTCTCTGCCTCATAAAAGAAATACCCAAACCTTAATTTCTCACTCTCTGCCTCTCGACTTTCACCCACCTGCAGTCTCAAACCATCGACGCGCCGCCGCCTCCTCCTCTGACGTTCACTCTCGCTCGAAGGTTTCTTTCTTTTTTTTTATTCTTTTATCTTATGTATTCCTTTTCATCTCTTTCATTTCACGCCTATGCCAATGGTGGCTAGTGATGATGATAATGACACCGAAGAAGAAGAATTAGAAAAAGAAAGATTGTGAGGATGTCCAAGATGAAGAGAATTTAGATTTAGATGAGGATGATGATCTTTTATCACTTACATTTACTTTTGTTCGATTCCAAACACCAGTATTTCTTAATGTTGCTTGTCTTTGTTGGGAACTAATAGAATTTGGTTGTTTTATGTATCTTGTTGACATTTACTATGACACTATTTTGGTATTGATTTTTTAAACTATGTTTACTATATAAATCTATGCACTATATATATAATTTTTATTTATTTATCAAGGTGTGTTTCGCTTCAGTCGGACGTCGCCTTTTTATCGCCTCTCGCCTCAAGGCGATCAAAGGGCTTGTCGCCTTGAGGTGTGCCTTGCGCCTCGAAAACACTAGAGGGCAGAAAATATTGGGTGGCTGCTGTTTCATGGTATGCTCCGAGACAAACTTTGCAAAGTTCGTTGTGAAGACCCAGCAGTTTAGATTCAAACTGAATGGAGGGGGTCCCTGATAGGATTGACCTTTGGGGTAATTGGGGATATTATTAGAGTATTAAGGATATATTAGTAATGAGTAGGAAAGTTATTAGTAGGGTTCTATTATAAATAGAGTGAGGGGGTAAGGATGAAGGTAGATAATTGGTTAGTATGATTTAGATTTGAGTAAGGATACTCAAGACAGAGTAGGTCCAAGTTCCTCTGATTACTGGGGAGTATTGTAGTTATTATATCTTTAATATTTCATTATCTTATTAGTCGTTTGGGTTCTATCAGTCCTTTAGGCCACAACAAAGTTTGGTGGCCTCAAACTTTCTAAAGATTTCAACATAGAAATGTGGTAAGATACAGTAATAATTCCTGAACCATACCTTTTTTTTTTTTTTTGGAACAAACAGTCTATCTTAGATAAAGAGGTTCTCAAAGGAGCCTTCTTTATATCTTTAAACTTATAATAGAAAGATGGGTCATCCTTATGGTTTACAGTCCCTCTCTTCCCATGATCAAAAGTAGTCAGGGACAAAAGAATAACGTTCCAGGAAAGAGAACATGCAAACATGATTAAGTAATTTTTACTAATTGTTCTCTTACTGTATTCTCAAGGATCTACTATTTTTTTTTCCAGAACAATTTTTGTTCAAGGCTGGTGAACAATAACTCAAATCCAAAAAAACATCATATCTTAAAAGCAAATCTGATTGGTATTTGAAAATGATTCTACAACAGATTTCTATAACAAATTTCAAGAACTGTTATAGAGGGTAATTTCCAAACAGCCACATATACTGATGCAAAATGGAAGCATCGATTACTAATAAAAGATTCAGTATAGCCATTGTATATCCTTCGGAATTTGATCACAAACAGCCCCATAACTTATAAAGCAAAATTATTGGATTTGCTGCAGAACACACATACTAACAAATACTCATCTCAATATACAAACAATAAATTGGATATACCTTTAATAAACTTTGAAGTGCAATTCTCATCTCTGTTCTGACTTTATATAGAGTTTTCATATCATCAAAAGATGTGTTAATCGCTGCAAGAACATCTTCAGACGCATTAGATCCTAACTTGGGTTTGACTGACTTAATCCATTCTTCATGATTTAGTTTAAATTCACATCTGAAAAGCATACGTCACATCACATTGATTAGTAAAGCCATTTACAGTCCTGAAAGAAAACAACAAGTTGAAGATGGTACATATTTCCAAACATACAACATTAGAAGCTGAGATATACCAGAACATGCATTTTAACTTCAACCATTGTAGAGCAATTACAGTTCAACAATCAACAGTGAAAGATAAGGTCCATCATTGAGGAAGGCTCAACAATCCTCCAGGTTAGGAGTATGAAATAGACATTTTCCAGGGCACTGACAACATTCCAACACATGACAAGACTTGTACACCAAAAATGAGATGTCCACATTTTTACCATTTAGTATTGAACTTCCCAACACATGTGACACAGCATCAACAATCAACACAACAGCCATACCTTAAGAATATGGAGAAGCCTAATAGTTTTAATGGTTAATTCGACTTTGCTAAATTTAAGGCCTCTCAATAGTAACCTCTCTCTCTCCCCTCTCCCTACTTCGCCGCTGGCTCCCACCATGGTAGCTGTCCACCTCTTTATTCACCATGGCCCAAAAAGCTCACCCTTGCTCTATTGTCATTGAAAGAAAATGCCTCACCATCGACATTGACCACAGATCCAGAGGTACGAAGTTCTGCATCTCTTAAACACCAAAGACAAGGTCTTTTTCCTTTCCCTCCACTGGTCTTCCCTAAAATGGATTGAATCAACTTTCTCCTCCCTCATTGATGTCCCTCTCAATCAAAAGTTCTTCAGAGAAGCCAGCTTTGAAGAACAAACAATCTAGATTGAGAAGACATCCAACAGGAAAGGTATCATAGCAGAGGTTGCGAGGCTGGACAATAATGGAGGCTTAAACAAGATTTTGATCCCCATATATGAAGAAAGGGAAGGAAAGCCTTTTATACCCTGCTGAACTCCCCCCAAATTTTGATCCCCATATGTGAAGAAAGAAAGGGATAGAAAGCATTTTATACCTGGTGAACTCCCCCCTTACTCCTTCGACAAAGGTCCCCACCATATCTCTAGCCATTGCCTCTTCGACCCCCACCGGAGCTAGCCCCCAAGGACCAGCAATCAAAACCTCCTCAAGGGACCAGCAATCAAAACCTCCTCAAGTGTGAAAGCAAGGAACAGGGCATTATACTCTGCAACATCAAAGGTTGGTACAAGGTTGGCAAGTATCAGCTCAAATTGATTCAGTGGAACAGTGACCCCCAGCTTCACCCACCTGTAATTCCATCTTACGGGGGCTGGATAAAAATCTTAAACCTCCCTTTCGATCACTGAGATTAAACAACCCTGAAATTTATCGACGATGCGGGTGGTAGCTAGCTTGAAACGACTAAGAAGACCTTATCACCCCTTGACCTCTTCAAGGCTTCCATTAAAATAAAGGCCAACCCTTTTGGTTTCATTCCAGCTGAAATCTGGGTCCACATCAGCCCTTCGACCAGCATCAAGGTCACTATCGACCCTTTCTATAATTTAGATCAGCACATGGGTTTCTCGGCCGAAATCCATGGAATTCTCCCGCAGGTTTTTCCGGCACCGATCACCATCCAACGACATCATTATCCGAGGCGCAGGTACTGGGTATGTACCCTAGAGACGCATCCCCTGCTGCGACCTACACAGCCCTTACAAAAAGTCACCAGCCTGTACCTTCCTCTAATCCTTTACCTGACA